GGGGTGTTCCACCTTCGGGAGACAGATTTTTGTTCGGGTAAGGCTGGGACGAGGCCACCTCTCTGCATCCGAAGGAACTTTCTGCAGTAGCATCTTGCCTCAAGGAGTCAGGTAAAAAGCTTGGATGCAGCTCCTGCAGGAGATGAAAAGGCAGGATGGGACTGGGCCCAGGCAGGTGTTTTGGCACAAAGGTGGCCATGGGGCACAATGAAGTGCTCTCCTCCATAAGCCACTGCCAGTAAGAGAAGTGATTGAAGAAGGGATCGATTAGAATTGGGGAGGTTAGGACTGGCACATGGAAAGGCTTTCCAGCAGTAAGAACAGAGCCATGCTGGCATTGCTGGGGATGCTGGAGATTCCTGGTCCTCAGTGGACTCAGGAACAGGGCAGACAATTGTCTGTCAGGGACAAGTGTCTGTAGCAGCCCTGCCTCGGTGCAGGGGATGGTCCCTTGCATCCAGCTGGGTCCCCTTGGTTTCCATCCCAGCCCTGATTTCTGCACCTCTTTCTTGTCCTTCCCCGTTTCTCCTGTAGGAAAAGGGCCCCCCATCCTCTTCCACAGCTCTGCCTTATGCACTTGCAAGCTACACCCTGGTCCTGAGAAGAGCACCAGCCACTGGCACAGCAATGGCCAGCTTGGAAACCCAAAGCACAGTGTGCTGTGACCGTGAGGGCAGGAGGGGTGTCTGGCTCCTTCTCTTACAATTCCCCCTGTTATTGTTAATGTTACAGTGGGGAGTATGTTTGATTTTACTGCATCAAAGTTTTACTCAGACTTTTACTCATCTTGCTTCTCCCTTCGACCAGCGTGGATGGTTTCCAGCAAGAATCCACGTGGCTTGGAGCATGCACAGGACAGAGAGCAAAACAGAAACGGTCCCGAGGCTGCAGGATGGATCAGCCAGAGCAGGACCTGCCACATGGCAGATGGGAAACTGAGGCACGGAAGGCTGAGTGACCTGCTCATGTCCCCAGGGTGGCAGTGGCAGTGTGGGGAGCTGAGCCATGATCTCCTAAACCAGGATCAGACTTTCTCTGTGGAAGAAGGGACCTGAGAAAGGAGGTGGAAGACACCCAGAAGTTAGTGTAGTTTTGATCCAGGCACCCAAGCCCTTGTACAGGAGAATAGAAAAGTGCAGATCAGACAAGTGTTCACCTGCCAAAAGTGTGACAGTTCTGGAGCCCTTCGACCCCAGAGCTGGACAGAAAACCTTTGGCATTTTGATGGATTGGGTCATTTAAGGTTATGTTTTCATCTCCTACGTGGGGGGTAGGAGGGGAACATCTGGGGTCAGATCTGCCACCACCAAAGTCTATGGCCCAGTTTCATTTCTCAGGGGTCAGTCTCAGGTGGTGTGGAGTAATCTTTCAGGATCCTTTGAGTTTGCACCGAGAAATGAAAAACACAAGTCATGGGGAAAACCAGTGAGAATAAGCAGGTTCCCCTTTTCAGTGGATCCTGCTTCCCCTTCCCTCTGAAGCTGGGCAGGCAGTAGGGAGAGGCTGCAGAGCTGCTTCACTGGGGCTGTGATGCTCTGTTATTATGTGAACTCAGCGAGAAGGAAGCAATGAGCTCACCTGGAGCTGTGGCAGCCGAGCCTGTGCAGCCACAGGCACAGCAGCACACAACAGCCCCGGTGTCTGTGTAAGGTGAGTCAGTCCCCCAAATCTGGTGGGAATCCATACGCTGGACACCAGTGAAAGCATCCTAGGGAGATGGCCTGTGCTTAGAACCAATGACTTTATGGCATTTTGGGGGGCTGAGTTACTGGATTTCCAGTGTGTGGCTTGTTTCAGGGAGTGTGTCTATGTGTGGAGCAGAGAGGAAAGGGAAGAAGACCCTGATGAACTTATGTGAACTTAAGTGCAATATGAACTTAAGTGTTCAAGGCCAGGTTGGACAGGGCTCTGAGCAACCTGGTCTAGTGGAAGATGTCCCTGCCCATGGCAGGGGTTGGAACAAGATGATCTTTAAGGTCCTTTCCAACCCAAACCATTCTGTGATTCTATGATTCTACAAACTTCTGAGAATCTCTGTGAGTTCAGGGTAAGTATTATCTTCAGCAGCCATCCAAGATGTGCCTTTGTAATGATTTGGAGGAAAAGGAGTCCAAGCAGAAGCCAGGCAAAGGTGATTTGGGTTTGTGAGTTCCCGTTCCTGGAAATGAAAAAGGATTTGAAGCAGAGCAACTGCCCTTGCAGGACATGTTCAGAGCCCATGGGCCCTCCTGCACCCTGGCCCTTTGCATACATGAGAAACCTGATTTGCTTAGAAATGTTCTCTGCAGAAATCACTTTCTATCACCAAAAGGGTTTAATTACTTTGCTCTTCTCCCAACCCAGTGTTTTTATTATTTGCTTTGGTGTCACTTGTGGAAAAATGACTTTTATATTTAACTACTTTGTCTCTATCCCTGTATTGTCTTTTGAGCATCTCTGGAGCAAAGGTGGTGTCCCCTGAGCATCTGGAAGCAGTGATGTGGCCAGATCTCTGCCCTTTAATTTGCACTGATGTGGGCTTTTACGTGGAGTTAGATGGAACTCACAGTTTGATATTTGGGTCTTTTTACTTTGCCGCATCAGCTGTGGAGGCACAAAGCAGATCAGGTGAGCACAAAGGTGGAGCGGTGCTGACAGCCCACGCTGGTGTGGAGCTTGTCCGTCAGAACCGGCTGTTTCCGCGTTTTCCCTGGCGGAGGCAGCTGACCTCAGGTCAGCGTTTCACATCACGTGCCTCGGCGTGTTTACTCCGATATCGAGAACCCAAAGATCCAAACAAGCGTGTTGTCAGCGCAGCCTCAGCTTCCTCCTCCCGGCGGGGGCTGCTCGCAGCCCGAGGGAGGAGCTGAGCTGCGGCGCCGTGCGATGAGATGAGGTGAGGTGAGATGAGATGAGATGAGATGAGATGAGATGAGATGAGATGAGGTGAGATGAGCCGGCAGCTGCCGTGTGCTCCGCGGCACCGCGCCGGCTGCAGCTCCCTCCCTGAGCTTTGGCATCGCCGTCGGTGCCACCGCAGCCACCCTGAATGCAGCCCTGCCCCATAGTGGTTGGGCGACTGGGGATGCCACAGCTCCTCTCCGTGCAGCCCCTGAAAGCCACCACCTGGGACCACCTCCCGCTGCCCTGCTGTCATCCTGGAGCGTGGCACCAGCATCCCGAGGATCCCCTGAACTCAAACGAGAACAACTGAGTAATAAGGAGGAGTGCAGTGCCCTGCTCCGAGGAGATCCCATGAGCACACTGGTGTCGACATCCCTTGGAGGTGCCTCTACTCCAGAGCCCTTTCCCCGAGTGGCTGCTCCAGCCTGGTGGCTGCCACGCTGCTGTTTGTCACTCTTGCCCCTGCAAGCTGGAGCCTCCTTGGTGGTGGCTGGGGCACCTCCCTGTGCTCCTCCGTTTCCTTCCGCCGGCACGAGCCCCCCCCAGCCCCCGTGTGCGGTAACTTCCTGAGCTGCACCGTGCCCCCAGGAGCAAAACAAGCAGCTCCCAGGGCGTCAGGTGGGGAGGGCAGGGGATGGGAGGGGACGCGCTGCAGCCCCGACACCTAGAGAGGTTTGACCTCCGCAGCTTTAGCTCTTCAGACGTGTCCCAATTCCTCCAGTTCAGGGATACGGCCTAAGAAGCTGGGTCTGAAATGAGCAGGTGGGAACAGGGCAGAAGGGATGGGAAAGATCAGACTGGCATCCTAAATCCTGAACGCAGCCCTTAAAGTTTGCACGAGGAGCCCAAGCCCAGAGGAGCTGCGGCACAAAGCCCGCTCCACCGGAGTATTCGGCTGTTTTCCGGGGCAGTGCCTTGGGGCAGGTGTCACTGTAACTTAGACACCAGACTTTCCCCGTCCTGCTATTTTTGCTGCCAGAGAATTTCTTGTGAATTGCTGGTCCCGCTCAGCTGGGGAAGGCCAAGCCCATGTCCCGGCCGCAGAGGTGTCACCTGGCGCAGGGTGGAGCGCGCTTTGCACGGCGGGTGGTTGTGTCAACGGGTCACCAATTAAAGGGGATTTTGGCTCTGACTGGGTTTGCTTTTTTAAAATTCACTGGAATCTCACTGTGAAACCCCACATCTATTTTGGCCCCTGAGCAGCTTTCGAGTCTCGGAGCATCGGTGGCAGCGGTCACTCTCTTCTGAAAAACCAAAACCCGCAGAGGAACCCGCAGGCAGGTTCTTGCCCTTCCTGCGGCACCATCCGGGCCGGATCCGGCCACAAGCCCCGTGCACAGATGGGCCAGCAGGGAGGCATGGGGGCCAGTGCTGCCAGCGATGGAGGTGGCACAGGCCCTTTCTCAGGAGCAGGCTTGAAGGCAGCAGGAAAAGGCCATTCCCAGGTGCCACCAGAGCAGACATGACTCCAGTCTGGTGTCACTCAGCCTGAGCTTTGCACCGTCACAGACATGCTGAGGGTTTTCCCAGCAAAGATGGGGTAAAAGGCTGCATAGGGAAGGAAGGAAAACAAACTCACATACTGCATAGGATGGAGGCATGAAGAGAAGGAGAGAGGGATGGAGGAATGGAGAGGTGGATGGCAGGAGGGAAAGACAGATGGATGCATGGAGGGAAGGGTGGAGGGTTGGAAAGGTGCATGGATGAAGGGAAAGAAGGAGAGATTGATGGAGGGATGGGTAGATGGATGAATAGAAGGATGGTGGGATGGATGGATGGATGGGTGGCAGAATGGCAGGAGGGATAGACGGAGGGGTGGACAACGGAAGAGTGAAGGGTGGAAGGCAAAGTGGTGGGGGGACAGACGGGTGTCACGATGGATGAGGGGATGACTAGCTGGATGAGCAGCAGGATAGTGGTAGGGAAGGAGGAAGGGGAGATGGATGGGTGAAGGGACGGAGGGAGGGAGGGCTGGAGGGCTGGGTGGGCGGAGGAAGGGGTGGGCGGAGGGCAGGTGGAGGGGGCGCGGCCGGGGCGGGGCGGGCGGTGCACATGTGCGGGGCGGACCCGCCGCCAGCCCCGCCCGCCCGTCCCGGTGCTGCCGGTGCCGCCCGGCGCGGAGCGGAGCCCGGCGGGGCAGCCCAGCCGAGCCGAGGATGGGCAGGGAGCCCCGGCCGCAGCCGCCCCCCAGGTGGGAGAGCCGCGGGTGTCCGTGTGACGGGGCGGGGGGGCCGCGCACGCACCGAGCGCGGTGTGACCGGGGTGTCCGTGGGAGCGGGGGCTCTGCAGAGCTGCTGCACGGGGAGGGCGAGCGGGGGCGTTCCTTATGTTCCCAGGGTGTCCGTGTAACCGGGGGCACCCCGTGGGTTTGGGGGGTTGGTGTACTTGGGAGAGCAGAGGCCACCGGGCTGTATAATTCGGGGTGTCCACGTAACAGGAGGGCGACTGAAGGCAGTGTAATGGAGAGGTCCCGTGCGAGTGGAGGCTTCGCTTAAACCCACCAGTGGGGTGTCATCGGCCTTGCACCCTGAATCACCTCGGGGTCCCCGTGCGGGTGGTCTGTGGCCGGCCGTGCCCTGGCCGGGAGGAGCCGGTGTCACCCCGCGGGTGGGGACGGGCCCCGCTGCTGTGACTCATTTCTGGACTCTGTGTTTGTTTTCCTCCGCGCCGCCCCACGGAGCTGCTGCTCGGGGCCCAGGTGTGGGGCCCTGCCCGCCCCAGGGGACCACCCTGCCGGGGCTGGGTCCCCGGGAAATCCCGGGGGCTCTCCGCTCCCTGCCTGGAGTTTCGACCGGGCCGCTGGCAGGGTGGGGTGGCAGTGAGTCACCCCGGGTCACTGCGGCAGGAGCTCTTCCCCAGGCTGGAGGGACCCGAGGGTCACGAGTCTCCTGTTGCTCCCATCACCCTCAGCTGGGTCTCCACAGCCCAAGGGGGCTGAGATGTAACCCCAGGGAGGGCTCTGCTTTGGCAACAGGATGTGGTTTGGGATGTGACAAGCTCAGCAGAGTGTCATCCCTCCAGCATCGGAGCCTGGATGTGCGCCAGCCCTGAGCTGTCCCCGTGCTGCTTCATGCACCAGCCTGTGCTGATAGGTGTGCCTGCAAAGGAGCATCTTCCATCAGGTGCCTCTGTGGCCTTACGGTGTCACCAGTGGCTCCTGTTCAGTGCCCAGACCCAGCCTGGCCTCCTGCCACACTCGTTTCTGCACCGGCCTCCCCGAGAGGATGTTTAGCTGCTTTGGTCGGTGTAAACCCTGAGGGAGGAAAAGGCTTGGCTGATTCAAATCACTAACGAAAGCGGGAGAAAAGAGATTTCAGACCTTTGTTTTCATGTTTATTACGATCTGGCTGCTGTCACCCCAGCACTCCTTAACTTTGCAAAGGGCTGGTTTCGGGGCTGCTGCTGCTGTCAGTGCAGCGAAACCCTGCTCAGGCAGCTGCAGGCTGGTGCTGCTCATGCTACTCCTGCTGGAGGGGCTGGTGCTGCTTGCCCTGATGCTGAAGGGGCTGATGCTGAACAGCTGCAATTTATTTAGTTTTTCCATTTAGATTTGTTTTCTAAATCTTGGTTTGATGCAAACTCCAGGGATATGCAGGATGTCAGTGCTTTAATTTTCCCGTGTGTCAGAAAGGTCTTGTTGGTTTTGTGTTTTTTTTTTCTTGTTCAAAGCAAAACTTGGAGGGAGTTGCAAATTGTTTCCGAAACATGATTGCAAAGTGGTTCGGAGCTCTGAGTGTTGCTCAGATTAGAGGTTAAATGTAGAAAGGTGAGAAGATAATGAGCGAGAGCCTGGCAGTGATGGTTGCAGTGGTTGCATCCCTCAGTTACAGTGACTACGTGAGGTTGGAGGGCTCAGGTGATGCTGGGTGTGTCCATTGGGCTGAGGATGCTCTGCAGGGAGGCAGCTGAGTAGAGCCAGGCCTGCTGCACTGGGAATCTGGGATGTGGCCAGCTCCAGCTTCGTGATGTGCTGCCGAAATAAAGCGTGGGGAGCTCATTGCTGTGCCTTCCCTGGCATCCTGTGGCTGTCACTGTCCCGCTCCCTGCAGTTCTGCAGCCTGGTCAGGGTGGGAAAGGGGATGAGAAGTGTTGGAGATGCTTATATGGAGGGAAAACCTGGAATAGTGGTGTGCACTGATTTGGGGAGGAGGTTAGGGCTCCTCACCGCCAGCCCCACATCTCTGGTGCTGTAGGATGGTACAGCTGGCTCATCCCTCCTCCCCTGTGGGGATCAGGGCATCCCAACTGGGAGAGAAACAGAGCAAACCTGACACTGTGTGCTTTTTGCTGAATCTGAAAATGAAGATGTAAATTTTGTGCTGAGAAAGAAGAACTGAATGCTGTGGAAGGCACTGTCCGCTGCTCCATCATGTCAAGCTGCTCCAGTGGGATGAGCTCCCCGTGCTGCAGCAGCCCTCGGGGCTGAGGGATGCCAAAAGTGGTGCTCTGGCTGTGCTGGGGACCAGGGACAGCCACTCAGTGGCATGGGGACCTTGCCATGCTGCAGCTCACCCTGGAGTAGTTTCAACTTCTCTTTTTTGGGTGCCTGCTGAGCACGACGGGGCTGCCCATTTTTGCGTGGTTATTTTGCAAGTGGAAAATGGTGCATGAGTGTGCCGGGGAAAGCCACTCAGGTGAGTGCCCTGAGGTTGGCTTTGAGCAATGGGAGGCTCCTGCTGTGTCTGAACTCTGCTCCCATCAGTGCTTTGAACTTCCAGGGGGCAGTAGGTGAGAGGATGAGGAGGGGAAATGAGGTTCCTAAGGAAGCTGTGCCCCCACTCCCTGCGGGCACTGTACTGTTGCCCAGCAGGTCTGTCCTTGCTGCAGTTCTGTGCTTTGCTGTTTTGGGCTGGAAATGCCACTCTTGACTGCAGAGGAGGAAAACATGACCTGTGGATGCATTCCAGGCTCCACAGCTGCAGTTCATGCTCTTTCCCTCCTCCCTGCGAGAATTCCCTAAGAGGCTCAGTATTCCAGGACTCCCCATCCTTGCCCTATCCCTCATGTCCAGAGGCAGCATGAAGACATTTTTGTAACCAATCCTTTGCGAGGGTCCCACCCATCCAAAGCCATCACTGGGGTCTCCAGGTGACCTCTGCCACCCACCTAAGGTTGCGTTCACCTCGTGTTGGGTCAGGGTCGTTTGGTGACGTGGGTGTGACACACCCGAGGATCCCCTGAACATCCCCCTGTGCCGCAGCCTGGAGGGTGGACAGGACCTGTCACCAGTGCTGGCACCCTGCCCCCGTCACCAGCCTCTGGGGTGGGAACCTGGGGGGTGGCTGCATCTCCCGAGCGCCTTTCCCAGCACGGACACCGAAAACCCACGTCCCTGTTTTTCTGATCTCGTCTCTGGCCGCCAATTAGCACGACGTGAGAACTTGTCTCCCTGATGACGTGCCCGTGTGACTCCTCGGATGCTTTAATTGCCGGGTTTTCAGCAGCCCGGCTGCGATGAAATGGTGATTGTTGTGATTGTTTTGCCGTGCAGTAACTAAAAGATGCAGCTCTTTGGCGAAGCCTAATTAGGAAATAGGGACACTGTTGGGAATGGCTCTGCGATGCGATTTTCCTAATGAAAGCTACTGAATAGGCAGCCTTGTAATGAAGAACAGACTCGCAAGGGCACTGCCAATTGCTCTTCTCTAGTGTTAATTTTGTATTTCCTCCCCATTGTTTCTAATACCCTCTTGGAAAAGCTTGAAGATAAAATGCTTTATTTTCTTACGCCTCGTATCCTGTTTGGCAAGCAGCGATTATAGCATGTGCATCTGGAATACATGAGTGGCCAGGCATGAGCTCCTTCAGACTTGTTAATCTCTGATTTCAAGGTCTGCCACTGAAAAAAAAAGAAACCACCACGAAAATAAAGCAACTTCAGCTTGCAGATGATCGGCTCCCTCGTGGTGTGGCACAGCAGGAGATGCTTGGCTGAGGTGGCAGATGTGAGGCTGGAGAGAGCTGGCTCTGAGTGATGCCCTGGGGAACACAGTTCGTGTGGAAGCAGCGTGGTGGGGTTTCGTGGTTTCATCTCAGCTGTCCTCTCCTCGCACGTGCTGTGTTTAACCTGCTGCATCTGAGAGTTCACCCAGGTTTGAGGCTCCTGCTGGTAAGGCAGAGCCTGGAGGTTGGATCCTGCCCGGGGCAGCTGTGGCTGAGCACTCCCACCTGTGCCACACCGTTCCCGGAACAGGGCTGGAGAGCCCTCCGGTGTGCCCGGGGAGGAGCAGGCTCTGGTGCTCCCTCCCCAGCTGTGCCGAGCTGGCCAGGCAGTGAAAAGGCCTGCAGATGTTTTTAGCCAACAGATGTGAGCATGAGCCTCTTGCTGAGCTAAAAGGGGAATAGGAAAACACTACCTGGCTGGGTGGTGTGGTGCTGTGACAGTTATCAATGACTGTGGGTGCCGCAGGGACACCACCTGTGTTTGTAAAGAGAGATGGGGATGGGACTTGGCTTTCCCTCAATTTGTTTAATTGCCCAAAATTCCCACAGTGCTTGGGGTGAGAGCAGCTTGGGTGCTCCTAAAATGCTGCTGGTCCTTATTTTGGGGTGGGTTTAAGCAGAAGTGAGCGGAGCCTGGCATGAGCAGCTCATGTGATGAGGGTGGCTGGAAATGGAAGGACGCGCTGGAGCGCCGTCCCCCCGCTCACGCCGCTCACTGCCCGACGCTGCTTTGTCTGGGCAGGAAGAGCTCAGCCTCAACCTGATCTTGTGACTGTCCTTAGCAGCTGATGGGGTAGGGAATTTGTCATCTTTTTATCCTGCGTTGGGGGGTTTCATGCAGTCGCATCAGGGCATTTTCACTCCTGTGTCCGTGCCTGTTCCGTGGACAAGGGTATGGTTGGTGTGTGCACACTTTAGGAAAGATGCTGTTGTTTTGAGCCTGCAAAAGTGTTTTTCATCCCTTCCACAAAGGCCCATTCTTTGTTGTCTCAAATTAGGATGAAACGCTTCCCCTTTCAGCTGCTTCCCCCATTGCTCGATGTCTATTTAAACCCTCAGCCCAGAGGCTTCTCGGCAAACAAGCTCTCGTCCTTTCAGGTGGCATTTCCCTTTTCTCATTGTTTCTGGCAATCTGTACATGTGAAACTTCACAAATGTTTCTTCATTCTCGGTGTCTTTGTGTTGATAAACCTCATAAATGGGCACACACACCACCCACAGCCTCCCCCTGCCTGGTGCAGTCACAGC